TAACAAACAATGTAAGTTCAACATACACAGGTATCTTCAACTCTTCGCCATCAGGAAAAATTCTCCTTGGACTGTTCACTGCTGAATATTATTAGTCTTAATTCTAAGCACCTGGTTAAGAAGAACAGTACCTTCAATCTACACATATGTACTCCTTTTGAAAAAACTTTGCTTTGTCATGACACTTAGAGAAGAAGTTAGATAATCATATTTAGGAGAATTACAAACAAGGAACAGAAACTTTGGACATTTTTTTTTTAAATCTTAGGTTGGAATCCCATGACCTGAGATTTTGCAAGTCCTGAAGAAAATTCAGCTCAGGCAATGAAAAGTCTTATGATACACTATCCTGCAATCTCCTAGTAGTTAAACTCCTGATTCATAAATGAAAATAAGAATACGGAAAAAAAAAAAAACCAGAATCCCGGAATTAAGCAGCAAAGGAGAAATACACAACTCAGCTCACCTGACAATTCATCATCCCCTAGTTTCTAATCTCATAGTTTGGGACCACCCTTCTATAATAACATGTTTCATCTTTTATTTATGTATAACTGCCCTCTAGGCTGTGAGCTGTGTCCTTTAGGGCAAGGACCAAATCTTAAACTTCCCCGTAACCCCAACTCCTGGCCCAGAAATGGGTTCAGATGAGACACTCGGTAACTGTCTGTTGAATAAATAAATTAAACGGCGGATACATCTGAGAGTTTACAAAGGATTTATCTATGAATAACAACACATTCTGCAAATCAGCATCAAATAGCACAGAGTAAGCAAATATAGTTAACTCTTTCACATAGAAGCAGATAGACAGGCTGTCTTTCCTTCCCCTACTCATTTTGACATTTGCCTTCAACACCACCCTCCATCAGTGGATTGCCACAGTTGGAGTCTTAAGAGTGGGAACTGAGGAATGGGGTGGAAAACTCCTATAAGACTCATCTGCCTATCCTTAAAATTCTACTGCTCTAATTGTACTTCTGAGCTCTTAATAACCACCATCCCTCAAAATAAAGATACTCTTCCTCCCCCTGCCTTGGTTAAGGGCGGTTACATTCCTTATTACTCAAGCCAAAAACCTTGGTGCATCATTAACTTCTCTTTCTCCCCCATGCTTCACATCTAATCAATGAGGAAATCCTGTTGATTCTGCCTTCAAAATACATCCAGAATCCAACCACTTCTCATCACCTCCGCTGCTGCCAGCTCAGCCCAGGCCACCAGTATGTCTTGTTTGGTTTGTTGAAATCGGTCTTAACAGCTCTCCTTGGCCACCTGCAGTCCATTCTCAATAGAGAAGTCAGAGAGACCCTCTGCAGTCACCAGCTACAGCCTGTCATTCCTTCAATCAGAACCCACCTATGGCTTTGGATAATGCTCAGAGAAAAAGCCAAAGTCCTTACTATGACCCGGAAGGCTCTACATTATCTGCCCCAAAACCCCACCGCCCACACCCATGACACCCCCGAACTCTCTGATGACCCCCTTATCTCTCTGCCCCAGCATACAGGCCAGAGCACCATTCCTGAAAGAGACCAGACCCTATCCTGCCACCACATGAAAGGTGTCCCCTTGGCTAGAATTACCTCCCAGATGGCCAGACGGTGTGGCGCTCCTTTGCTTCTTGTCTAAATCATCTTTTCACTGAGGGCTTTGCATGTCATCTCATCTAAAATGTCACCATCCCTCTCTGACCCCCTCTATTCCCCTCCCCTACTGTATTTCTGTCCTTCACATAGAGGTCACTATATAATAAACCATATAATATATTTTCTTTGTTTGTCCTGGTTATTATCTGCCATCCTCACTAAAATGCAAGTTCCATCATGGCAAAAATTTTATGTGAGTTTTCTGTTTGTTTTTTGCCGCGATATTTTGAGAACATAGAATAGTTCCTGGTATGTACCAGGTTCTCAGTGAATATTTATGAACGAATGCATGTATGAATATGCCCTCAGGCGTTGGCATCATTTGCAGGATCCACGGTCTCATTATTTGTCTTTGATTTTTCTTAGTGCGGTGTCACAATGATAAACTTTGAAAGAAATAATTTTTGAAACTTGTCTTTTTCAGAGGAATTTATAACAAAATGGAACATAACTTTGTTCTACTTCAAAGTTGCATTCTGACTTACCTACAGAAAGAAGCTCATCAGAATTCTTGAACTTATGTCATAAGCAGGATTACATGATATAATACATGTTTAAAAGTATTTTTAATAACATATAGGGGGTAAAATTGTGTTTATGTTCAAATAATGGAATCTGTAACTAAAGGAAGATAGAGAATTGATTGACAATCCATTAGAAACATCTGAAAATTAAGTAAAGTAGCTGGTTACATTAATTTAAAAAATAAACAACTTCTATTTATAGAAAAATGACCCATTAGAGACTGTGATGGGGAAGGCAGAATCCTGTTGGAGCCATAAAACAGATGAAACTGAGTGAAAAACAAAATTATGAATTGTGCAAAACCTATGAGACTGTGAAAATACTATTAGGAAAGGTTAAGTAATTTAAATAATCAGAAAGACAAGTGTTTATCTAATTACTCAAAAATATATTTACTTAGCACCTATTAAAAATGCAGAACACCATTCTAGGCACCAGGGATTCAGCAGTGAACAAATAAGATTCTGGTCTCCGTGATGTCTCAAAGGCACTGAGAGTTCAATTTGTCCTAACAAAGCTCATAATGCCCATTCTCTAAACAAAGTCCTATCCAAATGACCCCATAACGGAGAATGACACTGACATGTAAGTATACATGAAATCGTCTTTGACACTGCTCTTTCCCTTATCATCCAAATCAAAGCCATGGACGAGTCCTATTGACTTACTGTCCTAAGCATTTCTTGCATGTGATCCTCTCCATTTCCATAACCAACCCCTGAACCTCAGCCATCCAGCCATCATTGTGTCTCTCTGGACCATGACCATAAGACTCCCAGCACGATCTGCACTGACTTCAACCATCTCTTCTAAGGGGGAGCAAATGTCATCCTTTCTGAAAGAAAATTTCTTAATGACTGACTCTTCATCATTCAGATCTTAACTCAAACTTTATTTCCTTGGGGAGGATATCCATGAATATTCATAGGTTCTCATAGCATCCTGCATTACTCTAGCTTGTCCTTTGACTCAGCTGACATTTGCTTGTATGGTAATTTAATTATTTTCGGTCTCTCCCATCAAACTGTAAGCTCTGTGAGGATAGACACATTATCTCTTTTGATTCTCATTGTATTTCTAGTGTTTAGCATAGGTCCTGGCATATAGTAGGTGCTCAATAAGCAATTGTTACATTCAGTACTGCACTTAAGACTTGGTTAAGATGAGCCTTTGCCATGGTCGTCTTCCCTAGGTCTTCCCTTCATACCACATGTGCGTGCACACGCACAGACACATACACACACACAAAGAGAAATAAAGAACATACAGACCATTTGTCCATATGGTTTTTCATACACAGCCATAGCACAGTGTGACCCGTAATCCTGAATATCCACGTTGACAATTAACACCCTTTAGTATCCAGGGAAATACTTATGAATTTCCTCCTAGATTTCTCCACTCCTTAAGTGCAGTTCTCTCACTCATTTTATCTTAAGGCATAGTGAAGTGCCCCGCATTATGGAAAGGGCCCAATAGGTATTTATTAATGATACTATTTATTATTTTCTTTCCTCAGTCCTGGACATGGGATATTCTAACTTAACCTGCAAATTTTACTGCATATTATTGAAATTTTGAGAACAGGAGTATTGTATTTGCCATATTTGGAAATAGATAAGAAATTAAAGAAAAATAACAATGAACAAAGAGCACTTCTGGAAATCAGGTCCATTTAGATTGCTTGATAGTTTACAAAACTGCAAAGCTCCATATGTTCTAATAAGCATGCATTCAATAAGCAAGTTTCAAGTATCTAGTTACACCAGGAACTTGGAAAACAGAAACAACTGAGACTCAGAGTCAGACTTTGCCAAGTCCACAACCTAAGTGGAAAGGAATACCTGGAAACAAGTAAACAAGAGCTAAACACTGATAGTGCTATGCATAGAGTATTGAGGCTGAGTAGAGAAGTGAATAGCCACCATTCCTTGTAAGGTAGGAAACCATCAAAAGGAGATGTTGTTTTAGGGGAGTTTGGATCATGTTGGTGATAAATTTAGTTTTGAAATATGACAATGTCCCAAATAAAGGTTTTTAAATGAGCTATGATAACTTTTCCCTTTTTTTAATTGAGTAAAACAGAGTGTTTGCACATATTTTCTCATAAAGATGTACTTCTATTTAATTTGGCTCTATCTATAGTTAAACATACACATTTATATTGCTGTTTGAATTATTTGATTACTTCTCATTAGGGATTGGTAAATAGTGGTTTAGTATTTTAAACACACAAAAGTTCAGTCCAAAATCAGATTTATGTCAGTCTGGTAATTTAATTGAAAGCCACGGCTACAGCTCACAGAGCTGGAGGTGTGATCGAATTGCATATTGAGCAGTAAATGGTGGAATGATGCTTACACAGCATGTTTGACTCTTATCAAGTTTCACCAGTTAAGGTGTAGGTAGAAAAACTGCAGGTTCAAATCGCACAACAAAATAAGACATGAATTACTTGAAAACTGATATTTGACATGCATTTTATCTGCAGTTACTCCTTTAATAGAACCTTCCTCATCAACTGAACTCAGAGTTAACAACTGCCCCCCACCAGCACCATAAAAATTTATATTTTTTGTGAAAGACACAAAAACCCAGCAAGTGAAAGCCAAAATTTCTTAAAGTGTATATAAATTTAATGTCATGCAGTCAATACTATGTAACTAATCTTGTGTCCACTTTGTTGGACTATTCTGTTTATTCTGGGGTAGTTCTTAATCCTGTAAACATAGATAGTAGCACCAAGCATGATCATCTATGCCAACATTTTTCAACCTCATTGCAAGAACTAGCAAGTCAATGGTTTTTGCTCATACATATTCCTACCTGATCACACTGATGTTACAGCTCAGTTATTTATTCTTGCTTCACAATCACTCCCGTCCTTGGACTCACAGGATTTCCAACAAAAAACAGGGTTTTCTGGTTAGCCTTTTACTCTGAATTGTGATTTATGTCTCGAAAACAGTATCTTACTTTTTTTGGCGCCCTCTCATAAAATGTCCAAATCTTTCTTCAGGTCTTGAAGATCTTTATATCCTTCAACTCAAAAGTAAGATATTAAAGCTGCTTCTTGAAAGCCATTCTAAGAAAAAAAAAAAATCAAAGGTGACTATAAGGATGCTCATCAAAGCATTATTGGCAATTGTGAAACATTGGAAACAAACTAAATGTCCAAAAAGATAGGATCACAAGACAGAATATTATGTAGCCATTAAAAATCATATTGCTGAAGATCAATAAACAATATATGGAAATATTCACCATAGGCTGTTAACTCACAAAAATAGCTCAGATTATAAAATATCATATAAAGTACGACGCCAAGTTTGTAAATATATGCACAAAGAAGAGCAAAAAAAAGTGTCTAACAAAATATTAACAATTGCTATTTCTGGGGAATCAGAGTGTAAACTCTTCATTTTCTTTGTCACTTGTTTCTTAATTTCTTAAAATTTTCTCATTAGACACATCATTAGAAATATATAATGTGCATACATACACAGAGTTTTATACCTTTCTCCAGGGTTTTCTGAGTCTAACCAGTAAGTGTAATCATTTCTTAAGTAGAATGGGGCAATTCATCCAATGATACTCAACCACTGGTTAATACATAAAGGAAAATTATCTTGAAACAGTCAGGGACTCATCCAGGTCAGGAAATAAGAATTACTCAAAACCCTGACGCTAACACTAAAATGTGTCTATCCCACAACAAGGCAGTCAAATGCTGACACTTCAGCTGCAAAGGCCATGTCAGTTCCTGTTGGTTCAGATCCTCTTTGAGCTTGCTGGCTTGCTGTTCTAGTCAAATTTAACTCAGTTTTTTTTTTTTTCTTTAATACACTATATCTGAACTCTAACCCTTGCAATATCACTTGGCTAGGCTCGGCTAGGACAGGTGATGGTACGGACCCTCACCAAGACCATCAACCCCCGAAACTAGAAGGGGAGGGTCTGATTGCACTTAGAATACAGCACCTTTTTCTAGACCCAATGTTGTTCAGTCTGGTTTCCCAGACTTAAATTTTGTGAACTGACCTCTTACAAGCAAAAATTAAAAGCCTTCATAGTTAAAAACTTTATTTTGCTACCTTCCATTCTCAGTGTTATTTTACGAAAGAAAGTACATTTTTTACATGAAAAAATAAAAAGGGCATGGTCTCAAAATAAAATTCAGCTTCTCAAGAAAAATAGTGTGACAACCACCCACTAAAACATATGTGTAATATAATCCGGTGAAAATGTTATCACCAAATGGAGGTGATCCAGTGATTGCTCTGGGAGGCTTTCCCTTATAGGCGAAGGTGGTTTCATTGTTGAACTGAGGAATTTATTTAAAAATCAGCCAAAACACAAAGATTTATTTGTTCCCCCCAGGAATGACATATTTCAAAGAACAACCAAGCACTTGGCTATGTGATAATCCATTTTGAAATTTTTCTAGAGGGTAAAAAGAGCATCAGAGATCTACCTTTCATAAGAACACTTACATCATCATAGACTTGGGGTTTTTAGAATGTTTACAATAGAACCCATCTCACAGTAAACTCAATTCCTAACTAAGCACCAGAATGTCCTTAGTCTTGCTGGAATCCTCTTACCTAGACAGGAGCCAAAGCCAGAATAAACCTACTGTCCTACACATGAACACGAACCCATGAAAAACAAAGGAACGTGACAGTGAGTTTGTCCTGAGCTTTGAGATACATTTTACCTTCACGTGGCGAAGAGCACCAAACGACCATAAAACATCAAAATCTGTTCATCTGGAACTGAGAGAATCTTCTTTCCTGATTGTCCTCACTATTTGCAAAGCCACTCAGATCATCCAACATGATTTTCTAATCAAGTCCTGGCTTACTTATCACAGCCTATAGGTGATGAAAACACAAACTAATCACTCTGCTTGTTTCAAATCGTTATATAGTAGTTTAGAGGCAATGAAACTTTTAACAAGAACCAAGGAATAAAAATAAAGGTAAAGTAAAAGTAGATTCCCTGCAGACAGTTGGTCTGAGCTAATGGGCTTTAGGTAGTATTTAGACAAGGGTCAACATTCATAATCATGTTTTCTTCATAGTTTCTTAATCCAAATTCAAAGGTAGTGGTTTCTTTTATGAATATTTTATCAGATGAGAATAAATGCAACATTTTATTTGGATTACACCACTCAGAGAAAGGGGAAAATAGAGAAAGGCCAATAAATCTTAAAGAGTTAATTATTTATACAGAGAAAATTTACTTTCTATATTGTGACTTGTTTTATTGGTACACTGCAGTTCAATTTAGATTAAGAAGCAGAAAGATTATTGTTTCCCAACAGAGACGTATCATAAATAAATACAGCAGAGAATTGTTTTTTGTATTTGTTCCAAACCACTTACAAATATTCAGAACAAAAATTTGTTCCTAAAAATTCCTCAAGTTTTAAACTCTTGAAATGACATTTAACCACTCTTAGCACCAAAAATTTAGTGGTGGGGCTAGTCAGGGGAGGACCCTTGTCCAGAGGTGACACTCACTGAAGCATTGGCATCACAGTCACCATATCTTTGCTAGAATGTTTGCTGGCTGTCTAGTTCAGCTTAGTTTACCCACAAAACTGTATGAAATGCATCATTGTTCCGTGGGAAAGAATGCACTTACATATAACATGACACTCTAGTTGCCAGAAGGATCCTGCTGTAATCTGAACTATGGGTCTTTAATTGTCATTACTTGCAATAATGAAGTGGCAATATCCCTGCTACCCTATCAGAAAATAAAATCACAATAAGAGAAAACTTTGGAGGGAAATTTCACTTCCTGGTACAAAGTAAGTACTCAGTAAATATTTATCGAATATTGAATTAAATAGAGGGATGGATGGATAGATAGACGTATGATCGGGAGAGTGAAAGAAGAATTAACAAACCTGAGACTATAGGTGTCAGCCCCATAGTCCTTGGAGAAATCCCAACAGATGGCAACTCTATTCTAGTTTGTTTTGACCCCAAAAAAGGTAATAACACTATGCCAGATAGTTACTAAATAATTCCAGTCACAAAAAGTTTCCAGATTTCTGGAGTTCTCTAAAATAGAAACGAATTTTTTGAATTTAAAAGTCAATTGGACCTCCAGACACACCATACAATTTATTTTATCCTTGGCTATTCCCTGCAGTACATCTTGCTATAAACAGACTTATGAAAGATTTCTCCTATTATCAGCAAATCTCAACTTATCTCTTAATTTTCTTCCAAAATTGTAAAAATAATAGCTCCCATTTATTGAGCCCTAAATATGTACTAGTGATGGTGGAATGGATTTCAGATAGATGACCTAGTTTGATGTTCATAAAAATCCTCTACTCATATTAATATTTATTTATTCAACAAAAAGTAAGTACCTTCTATGTATCAGGTAATATTCTAAGAACTTAGAAATTAATCAGTGACAAAAATAGACAAAAATTCCTACCTTCATAGAGCTTTAACTTTTTTGTCAGGGTGGGGGTAAGGGATGAACAGGAAACATGACATTTATTGTTATTATAATTATCCCCAATGAAAAGATGAAGAAATTAATGTAACTCTCCAAAGAAGACAATGGCAGATTTGAGGATTCCAGTGTAGGACTCTCCCAGCTCCAAAGCCTGTATTTACCATCATTAGGTTCTATTGTCTCCACTATCAGAACTGAGCTAGAACAGCATCAAGTAAGTACTTTGAGTCTAAAGTAGCCTGTTCAAGGTATGGTGCAGCTTAATTGGCTATGAGGTAGACTGTCAGATTCTGGTTATCTTCACAGCTGCCCAATAAAGCCAAGCTTCTCACTATCTCCATCTGTAATCCCTAACCCTTAACTGAGATTAGGGCACCACGGCCATCTCCTGCCACAGTACTCAGAGAAGTTCCAGCCCACCCTACTCCAGGCACAGGGTGCGATTGTACTTCCTGGTCCCCTGTGATTATATAGCAATACATGACTAGCTCTGCACAATGTGTTGTAGAAAGAAGTGAATGTGTCACTTATAGATGGAACATTTAATTTCTAATTCAAGACCTCTCAAAACTTTCTTTTTTCCTCTTGCATGAAACCTGGAAATGTTCAAGACGGTGGTCGCTCCATCAATATGGTGCCCTGAGCAGACCTCCTCTGCTCTCCATGACAGACAGGAGTATGAGTGAGAATAGAACCTTATTTTCTAAGACGTGGGAACGTTGTTAAATAGCACAACCCAGCTAATTCTTCTTGCACTGGGACACAGGAAATCTCTAATTTTTTTTTTCTTAATTATAATGTTGTGGCAGTAAAGGTAAACTAAATAAAAATGTGAAGCCTACAGTCTAGGAAGTAACCATCTGGCATCTGGGAGAGAATATATTAGAAAGCAAAGAGAAAAATATATACAGAGAGTTTTGAGGGGAAAAAACATGATGAGAAATGTGTATCTTAAAAACATTAGCAAGTGAGGAAAAACATATGCAATCCAAAAATTGGCAAAACTCTTCTCTCTGCTCTAAGATCAGGAGTTATTACCATGCACAATCTTAAAAAACATATATAAAGGTCAATATTTAATCTATTAATGTATTTCTTTCTTTATATTTTTTCTCATCAGTTCAGCCCTTCCTTAATTAAAATATAAGCTCTTGGAAGGCAAGATATAAGCATGTGCCTAAATGTCAAAATCTTTGAATAAAATTTAAAACTTGATAGTCAAATCTAGTCTTCAACATATATAGTCAGAGAAAAAAGGTCCCACGAACACAAGACACCACCTGCACTTACTTCTTCCAAATGAAAAAGTGAAAAAGGAACCAATGTGGTCTCACTACTTTCCATCAAAGTAAAGATCCTTACCACAACAATGCCTATTATACCAGATTATCAAACACAGAATCTCACTGTAACTTCTGAGAACTACAGAATATAGACATAAAACAGAGCCAAAACCTCCATACAGGTACACCTCTCCTTCAGAGATTCATGTGTTACAGAAAAAGTTGGGGAAACTGAGTAATTGGGACAAAAGAAACTTGCTATTTAAGGTTTTCTAAACTGAAATTATTCTTGGTTTGATTTACTTTTCTTGCAATT